TAGCCCTTCCTCCATCCTTCCATCCCTCTCTCCCTCCCTCCCTCCCTCCCTCCCTCACCCCTCTTTCTCTGTCTTGCTTCATCTCATTGTATCTATCATATACTACTGTCTATGAAGCTATAGAAGCAAGACCCTGATAAATATTTTAACTTCACAGCTTTTTGCAAGTGCTTTGACCCAAAACTCAGAAGATGAAACGATTGGGATCTATGGATTTTTAGTGAAAGATATAATTCGTGAAGTGCACAGAGGATTGAAACAAGTAAGATAATGCACCATGATTTTATATGTTTATTATTTATCCATAACAAACTACATTATTGTAGCTGTGATATATTCACTGTGGTTAAGTGTACTGTCATGATTACATATCCAAGGTTCTCCGCAGGCTTTTAATGCATTTCGTCCAACATGCCATTAAAGTAGAAGCTAATTCGTATTCCTTGTTCTATTCCACATGGTATCTTCTATAGAATATCAACAGCCATTGTATTGTTTTTTCAACAGAAATGTGTTTACTGCAAGAAGATTGGAGGAACTATTGGATGTTCTTTAAAGTCATGCAGAAAGGTTTATCATTACTGCTGTGGCATGAAGAATGGATCACTCTTTCAATATTTTGGAACTTTTTGGTATATGCTGCTTATTTTGAACATAGTTTAATTGTGCTCTAGTTATTAATGAATGGCAGGGTAGCTTTAAATTTTAGCAAGGTATCTTTCTTAGGTGGGGTAATCACTCTCAGCCTTGCTGATTTTGCTGACAAATGCCTGAATTGAATTCTTTAATGCAATGGTGTTCAGATTACCAGTAGAGATTCTTTCCTAACCTATATATGCTTTGATTTGTTATAGTATAGTTACTAAGCTATGCCACCACAACACAGTTAGTCTTGTCAGATAATCGGCATGTTAGATGTGAACACGTATGTTATTTCTCTGTTTATAGCTCATACTGCATAGAGCACAGACCCCACCAAACCAGTGCTGTTAGCAGGCTGGCATTTCAAGGCTTAACACATAATACATGTGCAATCTGCTTGTCTTCTGTGGAGACGCACGTCTCCATTGAAACCATCCGGACTCCGTGTTGCCGAAACAATTGGTTGCATAGAGGCTGTGTACAGGTATGAAATGAGGTGGTTACCATCATTACCAATGGTTGTAATATATGTAGAATGTATTCACATGCATGCGGTCGTGCTCACACATTAACCAGGTACAAGGCCGTACGCAGGGAATTTTCTGTAGGGGGGCAAAGGTACTCCCCATGCCCCCTGTGCCCTAAAGTTCCGCAATTTCACATTTCTTTATTTAAAGTAATATTTCTTTGATGATTTAAGATAACCTTTTGTCACATTTTTATTTTATTTCTAAAAGTGTACAGTATTTGTCCCATTAAAAGGCATACTCTGAAAATCTCTAGGGGGGGCAACTGCCCCTGCTGCCCCCCTGCTGCGTACGGCCCTGACCAGGTATAGAGTAGGGTTGCAGTGATAAACTGGGACACCACTGTTATCGCGAAGGCCCGACGGCACAAACCACGACACAATATGCGACACGTTCTCGTCTGTAACCTGATACAAATGATACGACAGCTTAATATTGGCATAATAATTCTTATTCCATGCCCTTTCCTGTGTTACATTAGTTAATAGCCAATATATAAGTTTGCCTTTGTCAATGTTTATCTGTATTCATAATTGCATGTGCAGCTAGAAGTTATTGTTAGCATGTACCCCGTTGGTCTTGGATAATATCTCTTGTGCCAACAGTAACATGTCATGCCATGCAGTACTGATGTATGCCTTTGACATTTTACAGAGGCAAGCTTTGAATGCAGGCTATTTTTTCAAGTGCCCACTGTGCTGTAACAAGGAGTACTTCCAGAAGGAAATGCTGAAATGTGGAGTTTACATTCCCGAGAGGTGTGGTTTGATTTTGCATGAAAGAGAATTTGGCAATCTTATTGGCTGAACCTTCTTATAAAGCCTACCTAGTTGTAGGTTTTAAACTCATCTGATGTAGTGTGATGGTAATTGAAAAATAATGTATCAATGAGCATTTATATACAGGGGGTCAAAATTAGCACGAGCCGAATACCCTCTGTTTTATTGCCAGACAGGGCTGTAATTTGATGGGTATGTTGACTTCCATGACTAAAAGTTCATTTCTACCCATGCATTTGCGTGTCATTATTGCGGACTTTTTTGAAAAAGACCAGGTGATAAATATAGTTTTTAGTTAGGTTATAGTTAATAATAGTTTATATTTTGGTCATTATTTCATGTTAAAAATATGACGTATGTTAGAAACATGGCAGTCACAGGACGAATGTTATACAATAGGTCAATTTGCATATTTTGATTATTTTTTAGAACATTCTTAGTATGTGACCCTAGTAAGAGATGTGTTTTTGGGCATTGACTCAATGATTTTATAACTATTGAAAGTAGAGTGAAATTTATTCTATTAATATCATTTCTTTTCATTCACCTCCTTATATTTTCCTTTAAGCACTCTCATGGTGTGATTATCTGGGAATTATTCTAACATTGGTATAGAAACCTGCATGGTGTCGGGAAGGCGACGCTTAGGTCTGTGGTTGTTGTTTTAGGGACGCATCATGGGAGAGGGAGCAAGATGCATTTACTGACCTTCTGTATCGTCACAATTGTTGCGACATGAAACCATGTTTCTGTAAACATGGGCGGGACTACAATTGTCGTGATGGAGGGTACTGGAAAATTTCAATTACCATTGTTATTTTTTATTGTTGTTATAATTATTATTATTATTATTATTATTATTATTATTCTATGGTAAACCTTTTCAAGCAAACTTTAGTTATACTAGATTATGAATGATTCATAGATTTGTGTGTTATACAACGTGAAATGACACATTTGACATTGCTTCCTTATTAAAAAATAATTTTTTATATGCTGTGCAGCCTATATTAGTATATACAAAATTGATTTGATCACCAACTTTCTGGCTGTTACTGATTAATGCTGCATGTTATTGTATTCAACTGTTTTTTCAAGTAATGCGTCAGTATTATTCTTAGTGCTGCAAACTAGTGCTGTTAAATTTTACATGTATTTGCAGCAAGTGGGAGATCATGCTTTGCGATGATTGTGGAGCACAAGGCACACACCTGCGCTGTTCGTACTTAAAAAATCCTATGCAGGACTGGTCCTGCCCTCCCTGTGTATCTATGCGGAAGGAGAGTGAGTACTTTGCTTGTTGTGCAACTACGTCATAATAAAAATTCGTTTTGTAAGGTTTTTTGTTCTAGTTGGTATAAAATGTAAGTACTTATAATGTAAATCCTTTTAAATATTGTTAAAAAGAATAATAACTTGGTTTAGATAAATATAATGAAAATAACAACTGATTTATGGTTAATGTAAAATAAGTAATGTACAAGCAATGCTGAAAAAAGTCATGTTCTCCTTTAACATGTAATTATTTTGTTTTACCCATTTGTAGTTGAAGGTAGGAAAGATGACGAAGCCAGAAGAAAAGCAAATTTGAGACCATGCAAGGTCTTGCTTGTAGATGTGCTTCCTTTCATTGAACTTGCAAGGCACAACCAATACAGTATCACTACCCCTCCAGGTATAATATGAAATCGTTATTACTTCTGTTTCCAGCTTCAAGGCATTCATTTGATTAGAAAATGATCTCTATCCTCTCCTATGACATTATGCTTAATTATAGAGGTATTGAATACATAATGGTGGTGCCTCTTGTTAAATTAATCAGCATTTTATCAGTCACCAAACCAATTTGGTGTGCACCAATTCACTAACAGTTTATGGTAACCCAAAATGTTTTGTAATCATTCCTGATCAAGATCTAAATAGTAACAAATGATGGATAAAATACTTACTTAATCACAAGTATATTGCACAGAGTAGTAATTTATGCACAAGATTTTCAAGACATTTTTCTCATTACTTTGCAATTTCCTGTGCCCAATTTCTTTACTCTTTTCATTGTAAATTCTGGCTGACAGTGATAGTTTATGTTTGCAGTACATAAACATAGAAACATAGAAACATTATCCTGTGATGTATTGCAAAATGTGTAAATCGTCAATATAACCAGCGCATATAACTAATCATGTCACATGTTGCTGCAGGCTCACCAACAATGAAAAGTGGTGGCAGCACCATCTCCACTCATGATCTGCCATTCCAACAACAACAGCTTGCCTTGAATGACGATGGTTGCCAGCTTTCAAGTGTCTATCGCAGCATCGCATCCAAGACAGAAACTTCATTGACGACTGGGCACAGGAGGCGCTGTCGTAGCAGGTTTTTCCTTGAGTTGAATAAGCTCTGTATTCAGGCTGATGGGGAAGCACGGATTCAAGCTGCAGACAGAGGTCTGATGCCTTCTTGCCGTGGTCTAAGTAGCGACAACAAGTGTGTGCCGGTATCTGGTACAGAAGGAAGTGAGCACGCACATTCAATGACAATACAACAAAGTTGCTCTGAGAAGGTACCAGAGAAGGATGTCTTGCTGATGTTGCTTGCTGAGGAGTTGGCACAACCACCACCGGAAAGTCAGCAAATAAAACCCACTAGAGCACCAATAACAGCAACTAGTTCTTTACTCAAATTGACGTCCAACCGATGCCAGAAGCAACAGCCTTGTACTGTACATCCAGGCAATACGCAGTCACATTCGTGTCAGGTCAGTTTGCTGACTTTAGATGTGTCACCTGTCAAATGGGGAGCAGGGAATACCTATAATCAAGTATGCCGCATGCCATATGAAAGTGGCTCTAGCTTTTCACAGCAGAAACACACTGGTGATGTTGCATCCACACCGAGTTCGTGCTGGCCAGCCGGGCAAACTACAAGTGGCAGCCTCTGCAACTCCAGCCCGATCATAAAACATAGGCTGAAAGTCTCAAAGCTCAATACTTTCTCGCAAGCATGCAAGGAAAATGTTTGCGGCAGTCAAGAGAGCAGTAGCTCTGCGATGTCAGCTGAGAGCTATATCCGCATGACTCATGGGGAAGTACAGGATTTCAAGAGCTGGACAAGCAGTCAATCACCTTTGTTACATTCTAGTAGTGCTCTTGTCAGGTCACCCCCTCTGAATCGGGGCAATTGTTCTTCAGTGATATCAAGTCCAGATCTGTTTGGTGACGTGGATGGCCCAAAAGATATAGTAGAGTTTGCATTCCTTGAGGATACATCCATGGCCAGAGGTATAAGTGAAACAGCCGTGTCAGTGTTTACCCCAGTAAAACACAGTGCAGTTTCTGTTGAGCAGAACATACGACCAGTGTCTTCACACTTCACAGAACCGAAAATATGCAAAAAGCGTAAATCTGGCATGTTCAGCAGGTATCTGAAAAAAAGGCGCCTCAGCATGAAGGCTACTTCAAACGATACATACTTGTCCACCCTCAGTGTATCTGAAGCTTCTAGCACTGATCGTTATGAGTTAGCCTGCAGCACTCCTTCAGAACGAGCAAGAGGTTGTAAAGTTGAACGCTGTGCGCGAAGATCTAGCGTTGGGGTTACAGATGGTAACACACCGTCACGCCATTTAAAGTTTGTTTTGAGTAGCTCTGATGATGATGAAATGTCTGATTCGGATGCTAGCTTAATTCTTAGTGAGACTGGCCACAGCATGAATGGAAAAGCTCAGTTGTATACACCACCAGCTCATCCTGTGACTAGATCAAGATTAAGGGTGACCGATACTGATACTGTCGTAGACAACTGTGATGCTAATGTTCTGGATGTGAAGCCAAGCACATCTCGAAACCAGGCTGCTTCTTCTGGTCAGTTGAAAGTTGTTGATTCAGATTGTGATGTGAGAGAAATGCAGGAGACGGATCGGTCGCCTTCTAAGCGAAAGAATCGTGAAACAAATTCTCTTAAAAGTTCATATCTGTTACGACAACATGTCGCTAGCAGCTCTGCCAGTTGTCCACAACAAGTGGAGATGCCGAAGAAATACGAAAATTCGTGTTTACAAGATACGTGTATGCAAGGTAGCTATTTATGCTCTGACCGAGTTCGTAACACCAAAGGGCAGGACACGTCGCAGATGGAATCAAAGGTAACACCTAAGAATCTCAAAAGTAATAAGGGCAGATATTTTAAGATGTCAACCGTGAATGAGGAGAAGGCAGGAATGAGCATGAGACCACAAAGGAAACAACGCATGCAGGAAAATGTGCTTCCACAGAATACAGAGCTACGTCATTCTAATACCAAGAAACAAGAGGTGGAGGAGCACTTGAAGAATGTGTCGTCTAGTGCAGTACAATGGTTTCGTGTAGACAGTTGTAGTAAAGAAGCCATACGGAGAAGAGTCAGCAATCTTGGCAGGAAAAGAAAGCAGACGAAAGTCAACGCAATCGAGAATATAGACGAAAAGCAAAAGCCCATAACTGCTTTTTTTGAACCGAGAAACTTGAGTGGCAGTTCGTCTGTCAACTAGCTTTATTGGGAAAGAGATCACAAGGATGGTCTTACAAGCAGAGATTGTAGTAATGCGTGCAGGCATCTATACAATTGTGCACGGGAAAACGCATTATATAATAGTTGTAATCAATAGAATCTTATGCATTTATGATGTCCACTATAACTATCAGAATAAATTTCGTACATCATGATGATGCGCGAAATTTTGTTCTGATAGTTATAGTACGTGTGCCATTTGCTGAAATGTCGATAACAGAAGAGGCGAAATAAACTTCTTATTTAAACTTTGTGTGTCCACACGCGTACCCTTTTAAAAAAAATAATGGACGGAATAACACTTTTGCAGTACCAAGTGCATACATGTGTAACAGAGATGGAATTTATTTGGAATAATCTTTTTATTCAAATATGTCACCGTAGGGGGTTTACTTATAGAATTATGATAGTTTTACTGTACATTTTGTAGTATTTCCTTATGATTTCCTGTAAGCTGCGGTTGTGCAAATAGCAATTCGCATAGTGGCTTTTGGATAAAACGGCCGGTGTATTAGTTGGTTTTGAGGAGCCTGAATATATTATCATGTTCAGTTTACTACCAGACCTCACTGCCACATTTAGTTAATAATGATTTGACATATTGTAGGCAGTATTGAATCATGCAAGGTATTGAGTAAAAGAACGTGGTATTGTGCAAATCTTATATATACATCGCGATTTCAAGATTACCTCGTTATTTTTGTTTAATTTACGGTTTCTTGTCAGGATATAACTATGGTTATGCTTGGTTCGTTGGGTCTACGAACTGCTACAGGATATGACAAATACGATCAGTGCTACCCGCTAATAGAAACTAATAGCAATTAATGAATTATCCATTCTGTGTGGTGTGACGTGTCTTTATGTATATAAGCATGTCATTAGAAAAAAATCTCGTTGATGACAATCAGGTTGATTACTGTCTGCTTTCTGGTTTCTTTTTTCCCTTAAAATACGACATACTATATGCACCATTCTTTTCACTTTCCATCCTAGTTGGACGAAAAATCAAGCTTGGTAAGCTTTCTAGCTATTTTCGAGCTAATATGCCTGGCTGTTCTTATTAGCCATGTATCTACATAACTGTCTCCTATATGTAACTATAGGTATGTTGGTATACAGTGTAAATGATCACTATTTTAAAATATAGGTGTATATAGTAGTCTACCTCTTCATATTCATGATATTTTAGAAATAAAAAGTAGATTTAATATTATTATTGCTTTATGTAGACAGTATATTTAAATGGGGTCGATGGGTCGATGAAATCGTGCTTGGGTCATTGAAGATACAAGTTGAAAAGTGAATAATTGCAGAAAAACAAACGCGTTTTACAGCAATAAAGGGCAATCATTTTCCTCGCATAGATTCTGGATTTACTGACTGCAAGTGCCAGAAATGAATGAATGTGTAGCGTTTTTAGCTCATCTGACATAGTCGGATGCAGCTTGTAGAATCGCATGATTGTCCGTCCGTGCGTGCGTGCGTGCGTCCGTCAACAGTTGGGCACAAATCTTAACCGCTCGACGTACGGTCACGATATTCGGGACGTGGGGGAGGGGGGGGGGTAATCCGAAAACGAGTTGGGATGTCGAAGCTGGGGGTCAAAGGTCAAGAGGTGTAAAAGAAGGGGAAACATTCCCTCAATAACTTAAGGTATAGGGAGGAAATGCAGAATTGCGGCACAAATCTAAAAGGCTCGACCTAGGCTCGTGATAGTCGGTGTATAGCCTCATGGTAGAAAAAGCCATCACTGCCGAAATTGGAGGTCAAAGGTCAATGGGGCACAGGGCAGATTTGAAACATTTTCTGAGGACATGGTCTGACGGAGCGATTGGAAAACTTTTGTTTCAGCGGTGACCTACCATTTTTATGGCTTTATTGAAAGGACCATGAAATGTACTTTCCGCTGACATGCGAAGAGTAAGTGTCGGATAACCTTTTTACCCTCAAGAGGAGGGTTAAACATGGATTTGTTGACTGTTAACAAAGGACTGAACTGCTTTTGCTATTAGAGCCTCTTCCACCCGCCCCTACCCCCACCCTCCCCCACCACCACCACTACGCTCGCGCTCGACGCATATCCATGTTAATATAGCGAAGTCATTAAAGTTACACAGCTGTATCTTTACTAGTGTACTACCAGTAGGTATAGCCTATCATAGATTTTAGATCTGTATTAGTAGTATCCTAGATTAATGCTCTGAGCGCGAACGCGGTGGCAGGAGGTCGCACTTCATTCGGTTGCTAGTATGAGTTTAATCAAAAGAAGAAACCTGTGCTACAGTAGCATCGTGCAGATTGAGGCGCTGTCGCTCTGCGGCACTTTGTTTCTTTCGCAGCTATGTAAAAAGAAGATATATACAGTATCGTACAGAGCGAGCGAGAGCGAGAGCGCAGAGAGACGCGCGCAATCGTGTAACGCGCTAAACCGTCACTAGGGTGTTTCGATGTAGTAGCGTACTAGTCTACACTCACACCCGGACGTCACCAACTACGTAACCTTACTTGTGCGAGTCGCAGAACAAATGCGTTGCGTGCAACAATTGCGAATTCCGTCCGGACAGATTAGATGTGGTAGGGTAGAAAGTGAGTTGGCAGCTCGATGGTAATTAGCCTGCACGTTCCCAGCCCACGACCCTCCGAAGCCTTCCACCTGTTGCGTAATAACGTCCAAAGGTGGAACGATTTCAGCAGTCTGACGGAGCCCGGCCGCCGGAATTCTAAACACATTGCTAACATTTTTTAAAGCAATCAAAGTTGTTCATGCGTATGTGTGCCCGAATAATGATATATGGCGGCGTTCGAGGTTTATAATACATCTTCCTTGGTTTTACCATTCAAAAAAAAGGTGATTACAGAGGTACAATAAAAACTTAAATATATCTGTTGTCGCCACAATTTTGGAGAGGAGCTAAGTGATTACATATATTTAACATTTTTTCGGCGAATCGCGGTTTTGTTAAAAAATACAATTAAGTATACCATGTATATAGAACATTCACACGCACTGCATGCACACGCACAGCGCACATGCACCGCAGGGCGCGGACTCAAGCGTGTGGGGGGCCCGGGGCACGCAATTGTGTGGGGGCCCTAAGTCGTCTGTATTTTTTCTGCCTTTCATGCTCAAATTCAGGAGTATTTCATCGTGTCAACGAATTTAAAATGTCACTTTCGATAGCGAGAATACTGAGGTTTACACAGTCTCCTTGTGGCTATCGTGGTTCTCATGTGATTTTAAATCAACTTGAGTTTTTGAAATGACCTTTCAACCGCTACAATTCATTGACCAATCAATGAAAGATAGATTCTGCAGAGCAATTTCGCGGTATTAGGGAAAAGTGTCCTACAGCTGAATCAGCAAAATTCAGTCAGAGAATACAGCGATGGGAAACGCATACACTTGTCAACGTTACATGCTAAGCAATTTTGTGGATCACAATTACTGATTTGTAAATTTTAGGAGACTCCTAAATGTGGGGGCCCGGGGCAGTGCCCCTGTTGCCCCCCCTTAAATCCCTAGTGCATGCACCCACACACGCACAAACGCACAACGCACACACACACCACAACACACACACACACACACACACACACACACACACGCACACACACACACACACTACTTATATATATATGCATAGTTTTGTTCTGTACTATGTCCATGAAACATACAAATGTAATAACACACTGTCAAAATAATTAGGCGTTTAAATCTGATGGAAATTAATATAAATATTTAAACAGCCTACACCTGTCAAATTATCTTTAATTAAAATTGTACATGATTTTATAAGCATCTAGCAAAATTATTGATGTGCACTTCAAAATAGCTTGAAACATTTATGTAGCTACCCAAACACTTACACTTACTATGTCTAAATAATTTCAATTAAAACCAATAATTGTTACATAATGTTATGATAATATAATATAATAATATAATCCAGCGTCATATTGAAGATATACACTGATTAAGTTTAAAACATGCAGCAATTTATATCACATAAACGCATATGGATTATGAAATATCGCGCATACTACGGCGATATATCGCGCATACGCATGCTACGGCGATATGGTACCGTAAAATAGCGCATCGCTCCCACGGTTTTGGATAGTGTTTTGAATGTGCTATACTGCAACGGATTTGCAAATTAAGCTTACGTTCTGGGCTCGCGTCACGCAAATTCTTCCGCAACGGCATCGCATAAATGTCTTTGTGGACGAGAAGGTGAAACAACACATTTGTGGGGTTGAACCCCCCCCCCCCACACACACACACCCGTTATGATATACACTACACATTTTTGACATATCTTATACTATATGGCATGTATTTTGTTTCATAATTCGATTTTTTGAAGGTTGACTTTATCACATATAACATTCACGGATCGAATGCTTCGATTCACGAATCGAATGCTTCAATTCACGGATCGAATGCTTCGATTCACGGATCGAATGCTTCAATTCACGGATCGAATGCTTCGATTCACGGATCGAATGATTCAATTCACGGATCGATTGATTCGATTCACGGATCGAATGCTTCGATTCACGGATCAAATAATGCGATCCGTGAATCGAATCATTCGATCCGTGGATCGAATCATTCGATCCGTGAATCGAAGCATTCGATCCGTGAATTGAATCATTCGATCCGTGAATTGAAGCATTCGATTCGTGAATCGAAGCATTCGATTCGTGAATCGAAGCATT